CCCCAAAACCCCAAAACCCCAAAACCCCTTTCTCTATTCAAAAAATTTAATAATTTAATAAAAATGAGTAACAGAGCTGGATTGCCTCCTTATATAGGATTCAACAGCAATGAGAACAACTTTGAAGAGGAGATAAAGCACGAAGAGGGTCTCAGCAACGAAGAGGACAAGTATCAAGATGTTGATGAGAACCAAAAAGTATTCACTCTCACTCAGACCACAAGATCAGCAAGGAAATCCCAACCTTATTCCTTTTATAAATAAGATTGAGTCTCAATTCACCATTAAGGAGATAGACAAAGATGGCAATGAGGTATTAAGAAATCAAGGAAAGATGATCTTCCTTGATAGGAACAATCTTAAGAGAAGAGTTAATCAATTTGTTGGGTTTAGTGATCTAGAATGGTATACTGCAGCCAAACCCTCCACAATACATTCGGTCGTGTGTGAATCAGTCTGCAATGATGATTATCAAGATGGATATCTGAGATGTATTAATCATGATGAGTACATGAACACTCAGTCAAAGGAATCTTGCTTTTCAATGAATATCCATCTTGAATATGGTTGCAACTGTGCAGCTATCATGCCTGTCAATAAGACCTCAACAGAATTATTAGTTGACGAAGTAGCCTCACAAATTGAGCAAGAGGGGAGGGTTTTAGTGATAGCTGGACTTGACAATGGCTCCATCGTTCTCTCTCATTGTTGAATGCCTATAGATGAAGGTAGAGGAATCTCTGAAAATGGAAGTGAGCTGAGAAGAGGCACTAGAAGATCAAAGAAGCAAGGTCATCCAGAAGAAATTTTCACCAGCAACAAAGAATCCGAAATTATATTCCTTCATTCAGATGCAGTAACTTGTGTTGCACAAAGACCAGGATATCCTTTCCAATTTATGACAACCTCTCTTGATGGAGAGGCCTGATTATGTCTTTCGACGGGAACATTTAAAAATGGAGATTTAGCAATCTGAAGATTCAGTAGGAAGATTTTTCAAGGAGGGATTGGAGCAGCTGCTTGGATAGACACTGATAGATTACTTCTTAAAAATGCCGAGTATGGTGAACTTAAATTGCTAGATGTGACAGATGGCGAAGCAAACTCTCCTATACTAATCTACAGGACTTCAAACCTGTGTAAAATTAACAACTTCCATATCAATTTTCCTTTCCTGGGAGTTGCTCAAGATGATGGTAAATTAATGATATTTGACTTAACAAGAATTGATGGTTATAAAAACCAGATAATGGACCCTATTTTCCAGATGGAACGACCTGGTGAAGCATGTATGGATGTAGTTATCCTCAAAGACACATTCCGTATATACTCAATTTATGAAGAAAGCGGGATATTTGGCTACAATTTCCCTGAAGAGCAATTTTCTATAGAGAAAACAGAGTGGCACTGAGAATTCGATACTGAAAAATATGGGTTGCCAGTATCCATGAACGTAATCCAGAAGGAAAAGTTTAATGAGCATGATGAGCAGTATTGCCAAGACTTCATCATGGTCAGTACAGACCATGGCCTCATAGTTTATTCATACGTAAAAGTAGAACCATAATGATACTTATTTTCTTACTAAAAGCTCAAAATTAAATTCATATAATATTCAATAAGAGACACTCTCAAGGGGTTTTGGGGTTTTGGGGTTTTGGGGTTTTGGGG